CTTTGGCTATCCGATAATTAAACAACTGAAAAAATAGTTGACCGATTAATCAATTAGTAAAATAATGGTTATTTGCAGCCCTAGATGTACTAATTACTGCCAGCAGATGGCGACGATGCTCATTGTTTATCTGCTGATGCAAAAATCATTTCATGTTCAAAAAGCAAATGGTGTCGGGATGAATGCTTGGATTATATCCATTTATTTTAATACAAACATTTGGCTTTTGGCGTCTCCTTTCTTATAGACGGTGACTCCGCCCCTTTAAGGCGGTTTGCATCTTTGACCTAGAATGGGTTTACTGACTGCGCTCCAATCATAGAACAGGTCTCAGTTTATCAAACTGATAGAAAACTATTTATTTTAGAAGCTTAAAAAAACAAACAAATGTCCTAGTTATTTAATTTTTTAAATCCCCCTCTGTTGGGATGAGGGTTTTGCTTCTGTGGTTGAACTGGGACCAGTTTCTCAGCATGTCTGGTTTGTGTTGCAGGGTGAGCATTAAGGAGTCGTCAGTGGCCAAGCTGGGCTCCGTCTGTCGCCGCATCTATAGGATATTTTCTCATGCCTACTTCCATCATCGCCAGATATTTGACAAGTATGAGGTGAGTCTTAAGGAACCGCTGGCTTTACTGTGACCCTCAGTCAGCGCGTCCTCGTCTGACCTCTGGTCTTTCTAGATAAAGTCATTTTAAGCCCTTATGCTTCAGGAAGCAGTGAGGAAAAAGTTTGACAGCTGGAATGAACCAGTCAGACCATTAGGAGGCGTAGACCTGGTGACCAGTTTGTCATGGAGGCTCCCGCCGGCAGCCGTGGACGACTGATCAGATCTAATACTACCTCAGACTAATAATCCCCGTTTGAAAGGATTGTCGCTGATTAGGATTAGCCGTCTGAAGTCTTAGCTTCTACGCCGGGACCTTTGGTCCCCGTCCAATCAAAGTCTGTCGTCTCTACTGGATCTCCACGTGAAATCAGTCAGTCTGGGAAATACGGACACAGACTGGACGCTGCTTCTACTCCCAGTTCACTTCATAAAAACTCAAAGATTTACTTCTTGGTCTCCGACGCTGCTCTGTCATTAAATCCCTCCGTCATAACGAACTAAATCCCTTCTGGTTGCTCAGCACAGTCTCCTTATGGAGGGTCTGCAGACTTGTCTCTATGGTTCGGTCTTTGGTTTTTTTCGTTTCAAAACAAAAACGAAAAAACAAAACAAGCATGTGGTTTTTTTCTTTTTCCGTTTTTAAAACGAAATTAGAAAAACTGCATTTGCAAAAATTAAAAAAGGGAACGTTTTGGGATTTTTTTAACTGCAATGGTTAAACCAAAGACAAACTTTTATTTTGTTGTTAATTCAACGGACCTTATGGCAGAACCGGAAATGAAGACCTGAACTCCCAACACGTAACTTTTTAAGTTACCAGTAGGTGGCGGTAATGTACGCCTTCAATTTCTTGCCAACCGCCATTACAATCCACAAGATGAACTTTTTCAGTTAGCAGTACGGTTGAAGTGCAGCCTTTGCCTTTTGTTTAGGAATGGTTTGTTTTGATGCCGTCTTCGTTGTAAATGATTTTTCTTTGGCGACTTGCTTCATTTCCGCTACCGCTACATATTAAAACAACAACCGTATTTTATTTTCATTTAGATGGCAAAACAAAACTCAAACGTTGTTGATTTTCTATTAATACAATTTTTAATTTTTTCGATTTAGGTTTTATAAACGGAAAAACCACATGCATGTTTTGTTTTTTTGTTTTTGTTTTGAAACGAGAGAAAAACCAAAGAATGATCCATACAGGGATTCGTCTGCCTGAACGTCTCTTTTGGTCGTTCCTTCCTGCTGGAGTCGCTCTGTAGTTGGAGCCACATGAGCAGCTGAGGTGTCGCTGCTGCTGCTGAGTCAAAACAAAAACTTTAATCGTAATAATACAGCTTTAGCTGCTAACTGGAAACCCGCTTGCAAACTAGAAAACGATGCTGTAAAATATGTTTGTGTAGCAGAATAATATGAACTATTTCTAATGAGGGGAGTGGCAGCGGCGGCGGTTAGTGGTTAGAGCATAGAGCCTGGAATCTGAAAGGATAATTATGGAAGGAAATCTGTGTCGCTGGGATTTGAATTAAAAATGCCACTGAAATTTAAATGTTGTATGTTTGTACTTACTGTTTCAGTGTTAAAATATATTCAGCACACATTATTGACCTAAAAAGAAGTTCATTGTCATTATTTCTACACAGTTGAAATTTCATTTGTTATTTTCTCTTCAAGCTAAAAATTCACATTACTATTTCAAAGTGATTACATTTTCAATACTTATTTTTCAGTTAAATTTTTCAGTGTTAAAAAAAATCTCCGGTTAAAAAAATTCAACCTTT